ATTTGTTTTCATGATTATCGAATGTAAATCGTTTTATCTCTAAAAACAGTTTAGCCTATAAAGCTAGTATAACGCTAGTATATTGGGCATAGTGTAATGACAAATAAAAATCGCTAGTTAATACCACTAACAAGGCTCAAAATAGCCCCACACTACCACGGTAGCATAATGAGGGTCCCTACCTTCAAACCGAAGCATTGAGAAGTTTGTCAGTGTCCAGACAGTTTAATAAGAAGATATTTAATACATACAGTCAACTTTGCGTATACAGGCAGAAGCCATCTTTGAAAAACAGTCTCTACTAGTCGATCTACGAACGCCGATCCAAGCCTGCTGTTCGCGCTCACCTTATCACAACTCATAGCTCGTTCACATCTCACCAGCGCACTTGGATCGGCGTTTGTAGATCGACTGGTAGAGACTGTTTTTCAAAGATGGCTTCTGCCTGTATACGCGAAGTTGACTGTATGTATAAAATATCTTCTTTTAAGCAGACACCCAAACCGTCAAACCTACGTCATCAGGGAAGGTCCTCCAATGCAGAGGGGAGGGGAAATTTCAGATTTTGATTAAAGATTACGAAGCCAAAAATTTTTTTTGTGTGGATTGACTTGCATGGATGAATTGTTTACCACAAAACGATCAATTTAGGCAAACAAAGTAAGTATGGTCAATTTTGAATTCATGGGGACTTTAATATAGACACTTGTAATGCATTGTGGGATGAGTTGTCCATTAAAATACATTAACTAAACAGATTTTTTTTATTTTTGGTCCAAATCAAAGTTGAAAATGTGTAAAGTTTATAATAGGGCTGTCAAATGATTAATCGTGATTAATCACATCCAAAATAAAAGTTTTTTTTACATAATATATGTGGGTGCACTGTGTATAATTATTTTATATATATATAAATACACACACATGCTTGTATATATTTAAGAAATATTTTCATGTATATACTGTATATAGATTTATATATAATTTATATTATAAATAAATATAAATATTTTATATATAAATAATATTTTTTCTTAAATATACATGCATGTGTGTGTATTTATATATATATAAAATAATTATACACAGTGCACCCACATATATTATGTAAAAAAAACTTTTACTTTGGATGTGATTAATCACGATTAATCATTTGACAGCCCTAGTTTATATATATTATATATGTTAAAGGACTAATATAACTAATTATAGTTATAGACTACTGTGGACTTCGAACGAAAACAGGAAGTAAATACAGGTATGTGAGCTGGCTGAATTAACATAATTTTTATTAATATCTTTCACATCTACTGCAGTCAGATTGACCGTGGTCACTCTTAATAACACCACTCACATGGCTGTGCACTTGCAATGTCAAAATAAGGTTGTTAAGAGGCTAAAAGCAGGTTTAGAACTTGCCCCATTGAAGTCAACAGGGTGCGAATATTAAAAAGAGGATAACACGGTGTAGGCAACACTGATTTTTGTCGTTTTTGTCTGTACTGACAGCACTCCAAATGTACAAAAAATGAGCTCAATGTTCAAATTGACCGGAGTTCTCCTTTAATAATGCTGGCGTTTGGCTGTGATCTGCTCGTCTCTGTCTGAAGTGTGTGTCCTGCTGTTGTTTGAGTCTGAAGCGGCTGATATCATATCTGGCCTTCAGTAGCTGGACTTCCTCATGAATCTGACAAGCTTCTGTTTCTGTCACATTTAACACTGTTTTAAAGATCCCTTTTCTGTCTGATCCTCAGTTATTGTTCCTAAATCGAGTTTTCTGGAAGTCTGCTTTTGACTTACCCAAGTATTTCAATCCAGATTCACTGTAATATACAGGAATATCAAGGCCAGATTGGGATACGAGTTGTTTCTTCCGTGTAGTTTGGCACAGATTCAGAGCAGGACGAACGGCATGACCAACACTGTCTTGTTGTGTCTTTACATTCCTGGTGTCATAGGACCCAGATAAATGGGAATGACACTTTTTTTTTTTTTTTTTTGATGTTAGTGATGTTTTGCTGGTCTTTCAGCAGACAGCAGTCACACTTTATCTGTGTCTGTCAGTCCAGAGCTGTATTTATCCAGTGCTGAGCTCATAGCCTTCAGGGTCATCCACACTGATTAAAGGATTCTGCTCTGTTTAGCGTGCTTTTATTATGTACACTGTTTTATTGACCTCGTTAGCAAAAATATTAGCCTAGATGAATTGTGCATATGGGTCAGTAAATGAAGTTAAAGGGGTACTTTCAATAAAACATGGCTGCCTATATAGTAGATAGATTTTTTTTTTTTAATTGGTGGTACAAGAGAAAACAAAAAGTCAGTTTTTTTCTTCACTTTTGACGAATAGGTATAAAGACTTCAACACCCACAATGCACTGGGCATGTTGCCGTCCAAGGCCACTCCCACCAGTCTGCTATGGATAAACTCACCAGAGTCAAATACCGCCTTGCTTTAGTAGGAAATACTTCTTAACAAACTTTTAGTCATAATGGCGTCGACTTGAATTTCTGTCCAGGTAACATGGAGAATGAGTAAACACTGTTTATTTATATACTACCAACACAAAGAAGGTTGAAAATCGACAGTTACACTTTAAAGAAATATTAGCAGATATAGAAACAGTCATAAAAAATGAATGTAATATGACTTTTTTATTGTGTAAATCATAAATGGTATAATAATATTATTATTTTAATTATATATATTACAAATGTGATACATATTAATAAAATATTAATTAGAAATGCAAAAAATATAGATTTTTTTATTTTGTGTGCAACAACTAATAATATAAATAAATGTATTCTATAAATACATATATTTTATATTATATCATTTATAAATTATATAATTAACATTTTTATTTTATTTTAATTGTATACATTAAAATGTAATACATTTCAAAAATGTGAACTTTTTGTGAAAAATATTGATTTTATTTTATTTGTGCATAAAAATAGGTAAGTAAATATATTCTATAAATACATGACACACACACACACACACACACACACACACACACACACACACACACACACACACACGTAAAAATAAAATGTGTTTATACTGTTTTGGACATGGTAGCTTATAAATATCATTGAATATGGCAATTATTCAGCACCATGCCATGTATTTACCATACTTAGTGTTATTCAGATTACTCCAGTCATGTTATATTCCTGATTTCAGAGGAAGTGTATTAGACTTCTGCAGATCTGTGTGTTTCAGCAGTGTCGTCGCGTGAGACTCCTGTGACATACGCCCTCGGCTAAGCAGATTAAGCTGTGGGTCGAACACAAGCGTGTGTTACCGCCTCTGTTTGATTTATGAACAGGGATTGAGGAACTAGAAGGACCTGTTGTGTCCGCTTAATCCGCTGTGTTTAGCGGTGTAATGACCTGGACTACGACAGGTGACGCGAGATCATGGCATGTCACCACAGATTAAACACGTCCTCGGAGTATCTGATCAAATCTAAAAAAAAAGAAGACTATTTCACATTTGAGCATGTTTACAATTATATTATGTAAGCCTTCAACATAGAAAAAAAGGTACAAAAGCTGTCACTGGGGCTGTACCTTTTCAAAAGGTACACTTTTGTACCTAAAGGGTGCATATTGGTACCTCAATGGTACATATTAGCACCTAAAATGTGCATATTAGCACCTAAAATGTACATATTAGCACCTAAAATGTACATATTAGCACCTAAAATGTACATATCAGCAGCTAAAATGTACATATCAGCACCTAAAATGTACATATCAGCACCTAAAATGTACATATTAGCACCTAAAATGTGCATATTAGCATCTAAAATGTACATATCAGCACCTAAAATGTACATATAAGCACCTAAAATGTACATGTCAGCACCTAAAATGTACATGTTAGCACCTAAAATGTACATATTAGCACCTAAAATGTACAAATCAGCACCTAAAATGTACATATTAGCAACTAAAATGTACATATTAGCACCTAAAATGTGCATATTAGCACCTAAATGTACATATTAGCACCTACAATGTACATATTAGCACCTACAATGTACATATTAGCACCTAAATGTACATATCAGCACCTAAAATGTACATATTAGCACCTAAAATGTACATATTAGCACCTAAAAGGGACAAAAGTTTACCTTTTGAAAAGGTACAGCCCCAGTGACAGCTTTCGTACCTTTTTTCTGAGAGTGAAATGCATTGCATGTGAACATGTTTTTTTTAATGTGCATGTCTGTTTACATGTTTATGCCAAGAGCCGGTGAAACTAGATCATTTAAAGCTCATGTCAGGTTTCTATAGTGAGCTATTTTTGGATGGCTTTCACAATGTTGGTGTGCATGCAAAATCACTCTTTTAAGAATTGATTTCATTAAAAAGCTTTGTTTTCTGCATTGTGTGGTGTTAATCCTATACAGAGAGGCTTCTTTAATAAAGAAATAAAGAAATAAATCTGTAAGTGTAGTCGTGAGATTACATATCACTAGTTTGAAAAATAGAAAAAAAAATAAAAAATTTAAGCCTATATTTAATATTTTATTGATATTAATTATTGTAGAACATTGGAGCTGGAGAAAAGCTTGCAAACCTTTATTAGATAGCAACTTGTTTTTGCCACCAAAACAAATAATGTAATGAGATTTTCAGGAAACGAAAGTGTGCAGATGTGAGATTATAGCAATGAAAATTTGAAGGGAAAAATTAAATAATGCAAAAAAAAAAAAAAAAACGCATTATGGTGCGTATTTGACCAGTGATTAGGGGGTTGAAATATGATCTTTAATATCTCCTGATTTGAATACAGCCTCTGAATTTATTGAAGATCAGAAAGTGAGATATATGCTTTAATTTCCTTTTCCTCGGATGCCGTCTGCTGTTAAATATCCAATTAATCTTGGAATCTGCTGTTGAATTCCTCTTTTCCAACTCCAGACTCTCAGAAAAAAAAGATACGAAAGCTGTCACTGGGGCTGTACTTTTACAAAAGGTACACTTTTGTTCCTTTTAGGTACTAATGTGTACATTTTAGGAGCTAATATGTACATTTTAGGAGCTAATATGTACATTTTAGGTGCTAATATGTAAATTCTAGGTGCTAATATGTACATTCTAGGTGCTAATATGCACATTTTAGGAGCTAATATGTACATTTTAGGAGCTAATATGTACATTTTAGGTGCTAATATGTACATTCTAGGTGCTAATATGTACATTTTAGGAGCTAATATGTACATTCTAGGTGCTAATATGTACATTTTAGGAGCTAATATGTACATTTTAGGTGCTAATATGTAAATTTTAGGTGCTAATATGTAAATTTTAGGTGCTAATAATTATGTACATTTTAGGAGCTAATATGTACATTTTAGGTGCTAATATGTACATTTTAGGTGCTAATATGTACATTTTAGGTGCTAATATGTACATTCTAGGTGCTAATATGCACATTTTAGGAGCTAATATGTACATTTTAGGAGCTAATATGTACATTTTAGGTGCTAATATGTACATTTTAGGTGCTAATATGTAAATTTTAGGTGCTAATATGTACATTTTAGGTGCTAATATGTACATTGTAGGTGCTAATATGTACATTTTAGGTACTAATATGTACATTTTAGGTGTTAATATGTACATTTTAGGTACTAATATGTACATTTTAGGAGCTAATTTGTACATTCTAGGTGCTAATATGTACATTTTAGGAGCTATGTACATTCTAGGTGCTAATATGTACATTTTAGGTGCTAATATACCATTAAGGTACCAATATGCACGCTTTAGTTACAAAAGTGTACGTTTTGAAAAGGTACAGCCCCAGTGACAGCTTTTGTACCTTTTTTTCTGAGTCAGGCTCCACACAGATGCACTAACATGGTTTTTCTGGCTGTCAGTCGAATTTTACACCCAACTTATTGTCTCATGTGCGCTTGGATATTGTATAATGAGCCTTGGAGTTCTCCCATCAGAAATGGATGGGATAGTAACTGGATTTGTGGAGCTGTAGGTTAAGAAGTTTAAGCTAATCCCTGTCCGTCTTTGCTGTTAGCAGAGCTCACGTTTCTCTGTGCTGGACCACAAGGCTGATTTACGGTCTTGATTTGCTGTAAGTAAATCACAAACATCATCAACATACCAAAACTGACCTTTGATTGGTTTCTTCTCATTAAACCTTCATGCTTGTTTTGCAATGGTCATTCCTGACCTGCAACTCACCCCAAAGATCAGGCCAGGAGAACAGATGTGTCCCTGCATCCGCGTGAAATATGAACAATTATTACTGTGGAATGAATGCAGAACATGTTTGCGTATGGAAGATCTGATATTTCCAGTGCAGTTGTTTTCTTTTTATATTTAGTTAAAGTTTTAGTCATTTTAATGTGTGCAATTTAGTCATTTATATTATTCGTTTAACTTATTTTAATTAGAATAATTTTAGTACTTGAATTTATGCCATGAAAACATTTAAATTTCTATTTTACATTTAAGTTTAGGTTTTCCATTTATTTTTTATATATATATAATATTATATCTATATAATATAATATTATAATATATATAATATTTATATTTTTAAATTCAGATTTATTTTAAGCCAAAACGTTTTTAAAAAAAAAATAGTTTTAGTTGACAAAAATGACGCTGGGCCTTATTCTTCCTTTCTACATTCAATTCTATACACAATGTGTGTGTTGTTGCTGTCTTGGTGTAAATTAATGTAAAAAGTTGACAATGTGACCGTATCTAAAACCAAAAAGTTGCTGAATGGCTAAAAGTAATACCCTATATGCCTATCAACAAACAACAAAACCAAAACTGGTATAAATCAATAAATAGACAATAATGCAAAGAAATATGATTTGTTCTTTCAGTATACGTTTTTTTTGTGTGGCTTTTACCTAACCTGACTCCGCCAGATGGATTTGCTCCGCATATCCATCTGGAAACCTTCCGTTGAAGTAGTTTTGGTAAGGAGCGAAAATACTGGTTAGCTGATTGGCCTATGTTGGTGATAGACGGGCCAAATCAACCAATCAGATCAACGAAGCATATGACGTACTAACAGAGCGTATCTTTTCCTCTGAGAAAAGCCTCCAGAGCAGTGTTTTGCTCTTCTTTCAGTGAAGAAATACTCTGTAATTCCGATAAAACTTGCTCGATAGCCACGCTGATGCTAGTTTCATCCGCTGAAGCCGACATGTTCTTTAGACTGAACTGACGCGCTTCTCGTTGCGTCACACCTCAACCCGCCTCAAAGCCAACGCTGATTGGACGTTCGTTTGGTGAACTGCTCCCAAATTTTCTTTAACGGAAAGTATCCAGACTGATCTGCGAGTGAAACCTTGAAAGCTCGCGAGATCAGGATGGTCTCACGAGGCTAGCTTTTACCCACATTAAAGGTAATATTTAATCATTAAAAAGCAGTGATAATATCAACATTTTTGCACCCCATTGACAGTCAAAATATATTTTCATCTTCTTAAATTCAGTTTTCTTCTTTTTTTTTTAATCTTTTTTTTATTGCAAATTAACTAAACAGTAAGAAATCAGTGACACACATATACAGTACAGAAGAGAGAAAAAGCACAAAAACAACGAAATACAAAACAGCCCAACACAGTCATCGACATCGATAATATTCACAATGATAATATTCATGACAACAATAGTAGCATTAGCTCTAGCAAATTCATAGTTTTCTCACGACATGAGGGCGAGTAAACGATGACAGAATCCTCCAACTATCAGTTTAACTGAAGCAAGACTAAAAATGCCATTGAAAGACATATTTAGCTGTCTTTGATTCGCTGCTTCGATGGTTCCTCCTTCCTTATTTGATAATGTTGAGAGCATAATGTGGTTTTACCCATGGGGCTTTTCCGTGTCTAATCCACTATCTCCAGTTTAGCTGTGAGCGTGACTTGCAGTGTTTTTCATTAGTTTTCATTAGTACCCGACATGATTAACATAACCTCAGAGACTCGGTGACGTGAGCTGCATTTAAATAACCTGACCGTGGCTTTTTTAATAACGGCTGGGCTTAAGATCGAATCATACACACACACTGTGACAGACTGTGACGGGTTTGTCAGATCGTATTAGGGGATTCCTCGTTATCCTGGAACCAAAACTGTGTTTCACAGTTGGATTAATAGTAGACTAATTGTGCTCGAGCTGGACGAGAGCTGAGAAAATGATATATATCTTGATATTTTCGGCTTTGTGTCATTATATTTTCTCTCTTATAGTTTGAAATGTTCATGCTCCATTATTTTGCCTCATTTACCACAATTCGCTCAGTTAAATTGGGTGAAATATTGACCAGTATAATTTTCTTCGCTGATGTGGAGCTCAGATGTTTATGTTGGATTTCAGTAATAGTGTCATTTACTCAGTCATGTACAATAATATTAATGTAGCGTCAATAATCAATTTCATGTGCATTTTATGGGTGATTCCACACAGACTAATATACACTCACCGGCCACTTTATTAGGTACCCCATGCTAGTAACGGGTTGGACCCCCTTTTGCCTTCAGAACTGCCTCAATTCTTCGTGGCATAGATTCAACAAGGTGCTGGAAGCATTCCTCAGGGAGTTTGGTCCATATTGACATGATGGCATCACACAGTTGCCGCAGATTTGTCGGCTGCACATCCATGATGCGAATCTCCCGTTCCACCACATCCCAAAGATGCTCTATTGGGTTGAGATCTGGTGACTGTGGAGGCCATTTTAGTACAGTGAACTCATTGTCATGTTCAAGAAACCAATTTGAAATGATTAGAGCTTTGTGACATGGTGGAAGTAGCCATCAGAGGATGGGTACATGGTGGCCATAAAGGGATGGACATGGTCAGAAACAATGCTCAGGTAGGCCGTGGCATTTAAACGATGCCCAATTGGCACTAAGGGGCCTAAAGTGTGCCAGGAAAACATCATCCACATCATTACACCACCACCACCAGCCTGCACAGTGGTAACAAGGCATGATGGTTCCATGTTCTCATTCTGTTTACGCCAAATTCTGACTCTAACATCTGAATGTCTCAACAGAAATCGAGACTCATCAGACCAGGCAACATTTTTCCAGTCTTCAACTGTTCAATTTTGGTGAGCTCTTGCAAATTGTAGCCTCTTTTTCCTATTTGTAGTGGAGATGAGTGGTACCCGGTGGAGTCTTCTGCTGTTGTAGCCCATCCGCCTCAAGGTTGTGCGTGTTGTGGCTTCACAAATGCTTTGCTGCATACCTCGGTTGTAACGAGTGGTTATTTCAGTCACTGTTGCCCTTCTATCAGCTCGAACCAGTCTGGCCATTCTCCTCTGACCTCTGGCATCAACAAGGCATTTCCGCCCACAGAACTGCCGCTCACTGGATGTTTTTTCTTTTTCGGACCATTCTCTGTAAACCCTAGAGATGGTTGTGCGTGAAAATCCCAGTAGATTAGCAGTTTCTGAAATACTCAGACCAGCCCTTCTGGCACCAACAATCATGCCACGTTCAAAGTCACTCAAATCAACTTTCTTCCCCATACTGATGCTCGGTTTGAACTGCAGGAGATTGTCTTGACCATGTCTACATGCCTAAATGCACTGAGTTGCCGCCATGTGATTGGCTGCTTAGAAATTAAGTGTTAACGAGCAGTTGGACAGGTGTACCTAATAAAGTGGCCGGTGAGTGTATATATATATATATACAACAGAATTTCCTAGCAACAGACTAACAACCATTCCGAGCACTTCAACGGCTGCATAGCAACACCTAAGCAACCACTCAGAATATCTTAGCAACCTGTCTGGGTAACAACCATTCAGAACACCTTGTCAACTGCATTTCAACATCCTTGCAACCACCCACATGCCCTAGCAACCACTCAGAACACATAGCAACCATATAGAAACAGACTAACAACCATTCCGTACACCTCAGCAGCTTCGTAGCGACACCTTAGCAACCCCTCAGAACATCTTAGCAACCTGAATGGGTAACAACCATTCAGAACACCTTATCAGCCGCATTTTAACATCCTTGCAACCCCCCACATGCCATAGCAACCACTCAGAACACATAGAAACCACACAGCAACAGACTAATAACCATTCTGCAATACCTTAGCAACCACTCAGAATATCTTAGCAACCTGGCTGGGTAACAACCATTCAGAAAACCTTACCAGCTGCATTTTAACATCCTTGCAACCACCCACATGCCATAGCAACCACTCAGAACACATAGAAACCACACAGCAACAAACTAACAACCATTCCAAACTCCTTAGCAGCCGCATAGCAACACCTTAGCAACCACTTAGAACATCTTAGCAACCTCATTAACATAGCTTATAGTCATTCAGAACACCATAGCAGCCACATATCAACATTTTTGCAACCACTCAGAAAACCTTGGCAAACTCATAGCAAGCTTGCTAACAACCAGTTAGCAACAGTATTTCAATATTTTTGCTACCACCCACACTACCTAGCAACCATTCAAGCACACCAACTACAATGGCAATGGATTAACACCCACTCAGATT